CTGGGTAGTTATGGTGATATGCGCACTTTCTGTTGGTGTCCTATTGTGGGGATTACGGTAAAACTGCTGATTTAGGGGAAGCTAACATTAGCATTATGATTAAATCCGGTGTTAGCTTGACTTTCGGGAGGCCCAACCTACGATGTCTTCCAGTTCTGAGCTGTTTCGATTTACACGTGTGTTTTTATGACAACTTGAACTTCTATCTTATAAGGCACCGCTGGAAACTATTATGCCATACCAGCATCTTTACATCCTTAGGACAGTTTTCGGGAACTGTAGTGTAGAGAACGCGCTAATCCAGACATCACAAGCAGGGTGCGTATTGCGCTCACCTTCCTCACTTGCTTTTTTTTCCTTTTCACCATTTACAGTAAGTCAAGCCTTAGCCGGTAAACTTACTTAACGTTGGGGCCCGATGATTTAGCGCCGCACCTCTAGCATGTGGTACGCGGCCCGTGTCTGTAGAACCTGAAACTTATTACGCTGATCACTTCAGAGCCCTGAAAAGCGGACTTTTTTTTCCCCCCTCTCTCTCCAGATGGGGCCCATTGAGTAAGCATCTGGAAGCCAAATCTGCTCATTTTCTCTTCCAAACAGCAAAGAGCCACGTGTGCTACCCCCAAGGTGAACCCCCTTTTTTTTTCTGAGTTGTCACAAAGCTGCTGCAGTTTCCACTGCCAACAGGAGGCACTGCAATTGACTTTTTTGTTTAGTCCACCTTGATGATCTTAAGTACATAATTCTTTCTCACTTAGAATGTTGTGAAAATAAAGTAATCCTTCTGCAATTATTTTACAGTAGGCTAGGTATAAATGATCGGTAATTACCAGAATACTATTGTCCGAAACAAAGCCCTAAAATCAAGACTTAAGGCCCCTGGTCAGACGCATGGGTCAGCTATTTGTCACAGACTTAAGACACCTAGGAACTGTTTGAAATTGTGTGTGTGTGTTGAGGTGTGGGGGGAGGGCATGCAAAATACGTCTCGTTTCAAAGATGAAAGGACACAAACTCTTGTGTGGTCAGCAGCATTTAAAAGCACACGACAGGAAGAGTGGGGTCCAGTGGGGGTCAAGGGTTACGAGAGCCACACACACACACACACACACACACACACACACACACACACACACACACACACACACACACACACACACACACACACACACAGGACATCCTGGGAAAATGACACAGTGGGGGAATCTGAGTGTTAGGAGAAGTCAACAAATCAAGGGGAATGTGAGGCATGCAGTGTAAGTGACAGGAATTGTCATCAAGACAATTAGTTTGGATCATGTGGCAATTAAAAAAAGGACAGCAACTGTCATTTAACCACTGGGAAATGTCACTGTCAATATATTTTAAAACCTCCATATGACAGTGTTTTCTTCAGATACGAGTGACCACGCCAGTAACTCAAAACATATTTCAAAGCATCTTTCCTAGCTGAAATGAATGGAAATCCCATTAATCTGTTCCCAAAACACACACACACACACACACACACACACACACACACACACACACACACACACACACACACATAATTAATACAATTTAATGACAAACACATCTTAAAAATACAAATTCTAAAATTTAAAATAAATCAATCTAAATAAAACTCACTTTTTCATGTGTTGCATCTCAATAAATGGTATAAGTTGTTTATGATCTTCCTGTTTATTACCCTCTTGCATTTAAAAAAAATACATTCCACATGTCTCATCACATGATATTCGATTAGAGTAGTAAATTACAATGCAGAACTTACTGAAGTGGATTAAAAGTGCAGCAAAGGGTCAATGCGGCTTGCATGGAGTCAACGAAGACATCCAACTATTTGTTTGATGTATTCTGTGTGTTTATTTTAACAAATTACTTTGTGCGGAATAAATGGCCATCGTCAGTCATGCCGCAAAAGTTTCTCCTCGGAAAAGTGGATTCGTAAGACGGAATCGAAACATAAGCGCTCTCATAAAAACGAGATGGACGACAGGGAGCAGAAAACAGCTGGTGGGAGGATGAAGAAGAAAAAGAGGGAGAAGAAAAGCTCAAGAAAAACAGCAAAAGTTCCCTCGGTTCACGTGCGCACGCTGCCAAGCATGACATAGCGTAGACTGGGGACTGGTTTGTTTTTGGGATGCAAAAAAGCAACTCAGCACCACCCCTCAAAAAATAAAGGGCAGCAAGAGCCGCAAGTCAGATGATTTATGCAATAATCCATAACACAAACAATAACTGAAGACAGTTTGCGATTCGGCGTTGGCGTCCTTTTTGGGGCCAACTCATTTCTCGATTATTTCACGTGTCGGGTTTCAACTCGTTTCTGATTTAACGAGCGAAGTCTGCAGTGTGGCTACACACATACGCACACACGCACACCCCACATGCACACGTGCCAACATAAGCAAGTCCAGGAAAGACCCTCACCACAGTACAAGTCGTCTGTGGTCCGTGCCCCTTGCTGGCTCCTCTTTCACATTTATGATGTGCACACATGGAGCAGAGCGAGAGGCTCGCTGATGTAAGGCCTCTTTAAAAAGTTGGGGAAAAAAACGAAGCAACCCCTCCCCCCACCACCACCAAAAAAAAAAGAAAAAAATACATTTGATCCTAGTGTCAAACAAACGTCCCATTGAAAAGTATTGAAGACGCCATTCTTCAATGCTCAATTTCTCCAGAAACGGAAGCAATCATTTGTTTTAACTTTTCCACCAGGTGGTGCTATTTCACTCCATTCAAAAAAAATGCAGGAAGATTTCCTTTACTTTTTTCCTGAATGGATAATGGATGCCTTGCTACTGAAATGATAATTGCAACGTCTCTCTCTCTCTCTCTCTCTCTCTCTCTCTTTCTCTCTGTTTCTCTTTCTCTGACAGTGCGGCTACTTAAATATCCTCTTGTTTATCCATCCATTCATTTCCTAATCCGCTTTTATCCTCATGAGGGTCACGGGCATGCTGGAAGCTATCCCAGCTGTCTTTGGGTAGTAGGCGGGGTACACCCTGAACTTGTTGCCAGACAATCTCAGGGCTCACATAGACATACAACCATTCACGCTCACACTCACACCTGGTGGGCAATGTAGAGCAGTGGTGCTTAACCCGGGTTCGATCAAACCCTGGGGGTTTGGTGAATCGGTCTCAGGGTTCGACGGAGCCTCTGCCATGGAGGTTAGGACATACCCGACTCAACATGTCAATTAGTTATGAAACGCCCGCTTGGCCATCACTGGCTGCAGATGATCACATTACATTGCTTGTCCAATCAATGCTGCGGGAAATTTTGTTCGCTCGGTAGTCAACGTGTGACTGTTGTAATTGTACGTCTTCAAACTTGGATGACAGTGAGGAAAGTTCAAATGTTACTTTTAGGTGGCAGGTCAAGTTGACAGGTTTTAACATTTAATCTGTTAAAATATTTTTTAAAATATATATATCAAAAAAAAATTCTTAAGTCAAAACTTGCTCCCATTGCCTTACTTTCGTTTTTTTTTTTTGTTAGTTTTTTACATGTATCTAATGTATATATTTTGAATTGTGTTTGAATTAAATCTGCAAACAAATCACGGCCACAAATATTAGGAGCCGTGCTAACAGCCTGGATTTACGCTTTTTACAGCTCCACCGAGCTTTCCGCAAAAATTCTACCTTGAATTATTTAAGAAGTTCTGTACGATCAAGATTCCGTCAGATATCACCAAGTGATGAAGGACAATCTGGCAAAGAATTGAAGAAAATTTTCAGCTTCATCCCAAAGACTATTTTCTATGCTGCTTATCTTACGGCCAGCTGATTGAGGGCGTACTGTGATCAGCTGTGATTCAAACCGGTGCTGAGTAGAAATTGATGCCGGCCAGCTGCGTGAATACCAGCTATGTGAATCACTACGCTTGTAATGTCTCCCCCCCGCCCCAAATCTTGTCAAGTCATCAAACACACGCATACAAGCACGCAACTGGCCTTGAACATCACAGCTTTGTTGTCCTTGTTTTCTTGATATATTTTGCTTGATGTTATCTTGTTCATATTTCTATCTGTCAGTTTGGATTCATTGGTCAGTCTGACTACAGAACGTGACTACAGTGGTACTTTGGCTAATGAGTGACCCGAGTCACTACTTGTACATGCTACAAAGACAATTCTATCTCAATTTGTTAATTCTTTTGCTGATTTGAGGTCATAAAAAGAAGATAAAAATTGTCAAGAGTCAGCGTCATAAAGCCCAGAAATTATTCTGGATCGGAAAAACCCAACCAGCTGTGATTGGAAGCCAGTTTGACATTACAGCCTCACATTGGATGAATTGCAACACGAGATCAATAATCCTCTTGATGTTTGTTTCTTTGTGTCAAGCTAAACCACTGCATGTTTGGTCATTAAAATGACAATACATTATTATTATTATTATTATTATTATTATTATTGTTGTTATTGTTGTTATTATTTCAAAAACATAATCTAAATATGAATATAGCACAACAAGCAGAAAGCAGCAGAAAGCAGAACAAGCTTCATCCTAATAAATTTTACATTAAAAACATATTTTTTTCTTGATTTTTTTTTTTTAAAGCTTTGAGTGGTTCGATTTGACCGGCAACATAACAGGAACATTAAATAACCACAGAAGGTTGCACATCCAAAAGTAATAAATCACCCTTAGTTTCCCTCCCCAATCATAATCACACGTATAATGGTACAGTATATGAATACAGTAATTTAATAATACGATAGTGGTTTTACTATTTAACATTTTGTATACAACCGCCATAACATCAGGCACAGATCACAATACAACGAGATCCAAAACATAAGAGTCTTCTGATGAAATTAAATAACCAAAATATTTGACACAGTGTGATACAAACACATGAATTGTAATAATAATAAACACATTGATAAATCAGTACCTATTTGACAGTATCAATCAAAAGTTTTTATCCTTTTTGACAGCTGGTCCCATCCCACCAAGTCATAAAAGATCGTACATGTACTCACCTTCCCTTCTGCTTGCTGCCTGGTGGTCCTGTTTGGGAACGACTCCACTCCAAAGTCTCCAAAGACCAGAAAAAAAAACCCTGAAAATGTTACCTTTGTTTAATCATCAAAAGTTGATCCACAGGTTGCGTAGAGAACTTGCTGCACAAAGAGGGTCCGGCGGACTTGGCGAGGGGAAGAAAATAAGAAAGTAGCCACAGAGGAAAGAGTCGTGTGGCACCAAAAAAAAAAGAAAGAAAAAAAGGGAAAAGGGGGGAGGGTCGTCAAGACCACGCAAAGTGGAAAAACTGTGACAGGGGGAGGGAGGGAGGGAGGGAAGATTGCTGTTTTAACTCGTTTTAAATATACTGTACTGAAAATAGATAGATAGATAGATAGATAGATAGATAGATAGATAGATAGATAGATAGATAGATAGATAGATAGATAGTTATCAGTGTTATATCAGTGTGTGCGTGTGTGTGTGTCACATTCTCACTTGACTGTCAGCTGTGTGTTGAGGCAGTCCTGCGAGACCACCAGTTTGTCAGCGAGCTTCCCAAGAACAGCTGGACATCTTTCCTCCCTAAAACAGGAGGTCGGCCTTGATAAGCAGCTGCTGCGCTGCTTGTCTTCTCCTCCTTGGCAGATTAAGACCTCATGCAGGCATGTATCAGAAGGTCGACATCCAAGTGGAGCAAATTTGAAAATTTGTTCCATGAAATTGAATTGATTTATTTCCAAATGTTTCACTGTATGTGAGGTTAGATTGATTCGTCCAATCAGGTTGCAGCCTCGACGGGTCGCCATGTTATTATAATCTGTCCCGGGTCTTCACAGGCTTGATTTAATTTGACTTTATTAACTATTTCTTTAACCAATCAGGTTTCAAATTCATCGGTATTTCCCACCCTCTGATCGTTAGGAGCAAAACTTTTCACAATCTAACTTCAATTAGCGAAACACTTGTGGAGCAATCTGCCGATATCAATACGTTTATATTTTGCATCTCTAGTGAGAATATTTTATTTCTTGTTTTACCATGGTATTAGATAAATATTGATTATGAACTGCTCCACAGACAGCAAAGTACAAGGCCCGTCGCTATGTCGTACGGGAACCCAAGAACAAGAGAACTATAGATGCCAAGTGTTTACACATTTATCATTAGAATGAATATTTAAAGTAGTCACAACCACCATACAATAACTTTATCACTGATGTGACGTGAAGAAAATGAGTTGCAACTGCCGATAAAACGACGTCAAAAGGAAGTCTCACGTATTTGGAACTCAATGCTATCACCTAGCGGTTTTTTCTATCCCTTACACGCATTTACAGAACTTCCATCCATATATTATCTGAACCACTTTAAGCAACTTTAATGTGAGAAAATCGGTGTAGATATATCCACTTTATATGAAGTCGTATTTTCTAATACGACCCTCGGGAGGATAAGGGGTTAGGATTTTGGATGGTTGGATGGATGGACACTAACCCAATGCGTGACAACGACAAACCTGCTGACGTCGACAAAAACGTTTAGGTGGAGACGCTCACTCCTTAATTAACATGCATATGGGTAATGCAACTGAACTTTAAACAAAAGTTAACTCAAATAAAACATTTTGGTTTACCCACGAGTCATAAGATGAGAGCAAATATAAACCCAGCCTTTTTCCTTCCATTGCTCCAGCAGCCAAATGCGTGAGTTTTTTTCTTCATTTTTTTTTAAATGACGAAATTCGTGATGGGAACCAAATTCTTTTTCACACGTAAATGTTCAACCTGAAGTTATTTCACTCCTTAGTTTTTTAGTAATCAAAGTACAAACTAGATTTTCATTCGTTTCAAAAGGAGAAATAAAAGGCAAATGCGGAGTTTTGTTCTCAAGCCTACAAGCGAAACCCGGAAGTACTCGTTTGCGCTAGGCGTGACGGTTTTCCGGTGTCATGTCAGCCTCCTGCAGAAGTCGCATGTCACACTTCTCCAAAGGTTTTAGTTGAGATTTTCATATTGACTGATATACGGCGCTAATACGTTTGCGGATTTAACTCGACTGAATAACACTTAAGTTTTATTTAAAGATCGGCGTGAAAATGTTTCACGTATTGTTATGAGACGTCCTGTTATGAGACATGATGGTGAAAACATCATCATGCAGGTGTTAACAAACCTTCCTTCCTTCGTCTAGATGACTGACTCTGTGCAAGACAAGGGCCACGGGTTGAGGTTTGCCGAGCAGCAGCTGAAGCGTCACGGCTGGAAACATGGTCAGATGTTGTACACTTATTGAAGCTTGGCACTCATCATATCTCAACCATTGCATCTTAACGTGTCTATTATTGTTATTAATCCGAAGGTAAAGGACTGGGTCGGGATGAGAAGGGCATATCGGAAGCCATCAAGGTTAAAGTGAAGTGCAACAAAGGCGGGGTGAGGGTTGTTGATTGTTGTTGTTGTTAGTGGTGTGTGAGGATGTACAGTGGCAACTAAATAATTTGTGTGTTGTGTCAGGTGGGCCACAAGGAAGGAGAGCAGTTCACTTTCCACTGGTGGGATCACGCCTTCAATAAGGCTTCGGCCAGCCTCCGGGTGGAATCCCATCAGGTTGGTAGTTTAAAAAAAATGAAGCTATGTTCACTCAGAAACAAATTATGGAAATATAAATCATCAGTTCCAGGGTCAAGTTATCTTGCAAGCTGCCACTGTGCCAACTGTTAGCATGTTAGTGTTTTATCCGTTAAACCACTGAGCACTAAAGTGAGCTAACTCCATATTTTTTTTTAATACAGAATGGCATTTCGTTGAAGAAGATGGCTGAGGACGATGAAGAAGACGGCAGCGTGATTTCTAACAAGAAGCCTCGGAAAGCCTCGCTGGCTAAAGCCAAACTCTACGGCTGCTTTGTCAAGGTGAAATACTTCAAGGATTTACACGAGGAGTTGTGGACTCAAGACGTGTTGACTGGATGTGTTTTTTTTTCCCTTCAGTCGGCCACTCTGCTGTCTGGTCAGGAGCAGCCAGAGCCAACAGTTGACAGTGACGGCAGCAGCTCGGACCAGGAGGAAGATCACAAACTCGACCTTTCTTCGGCTACCAAGTGAGAACTTTTTTTCTGCTTTAAATCAACAGAATTAAAGCAGTGCCAAACTAGTGTTTAACACATTTTATTTCAGCAAAATTAAACCACGGGGGGAAAAAAAACACTCATCAGTGCTTTTGCCACATTTGCTGTTTTCTTCCAGGCTGTCTGATTGCGAGCTCGTGAAGGCTTGCGGAGGACGCACCGCCCACAAGTCAGTGCATTTATGGAAAAATAACTTTAGGACTGAACGTGTTTTAGATGCTTAAATTCTGGATTGTTTTTTTCTTTTTCCTCAGAGGAGCCAGACACGGTTTGAACATGAGCGCTAAGCTAGCCCGGCTGGAGCAGCAGGAGGCTGACTTCATGGCCAAATACGGTAACAAGACCGAAGACAGGCAGGAAGGAAACAACCCTAAGAACAAAAGGGCATCCAAGGAGATGACTGAAGAATTAAACAACTCCAATATTTCACTTTCGGAACCGTCTGACATCAGAATCAAAAAGAAGAAAAAGAAAAGGAGTGATGACAGAGAAGAAGCGATAGGCGTAGAAAATGGTCACGAGAACCACACGAAGAAGCAGAAGAAGAAAAACGGACAGTTGACAGGTCCAGAGCTTGACATCACTCCTGTGCTGGAAAAGAAGAAGAAGAAGAAGAAAGAGCTGCAACTTCCAGTAGTAGAAGAGCAGATGAACCACACAGAGTCAGAGCCGCTTGTTTCCGAACATCAAGTCAAGAAGAAAAGCAAAAAGAGCAAAAAGGACTCAAACATGTGGGAGGAGCCACAAGCATCACCTCCACCAAAGAAGAAAAAGTCCAAAGAGTAATCTTTGGTCTTCTGTAGTGACTGAGGATTCTTCAAATAAACTCATTTCTTCTGTACAACAGCCTCATTATCGATGATAAGACCAGAAACGGACCAGACGTGTGATATGAGTGGTCAAAAGATCAATTCCATTCGCAGACTACCATTATTTACCTTCCAGATATTCACGCAATTAGCATGTCGTTGGAAGGTTACCGACTAATGACAAAAACGCAGACAAGCTGTACTGAGAATGTCTTAAATCCAATTCTGAATTTGTGTCTTTATGATTTTTGTTTTGTTTTAAACATTCTAACTCTAAATAAATGTTTCAAATTTTTGCTACCATTATTATTGCCGGTGTGTGTCTCCTGGTGCCGATGGGGCATGATTTTGCGCTCAAGACCCTCCTTTGATTTATTTATTTTTTTTTAACATTAATATATTTGTTTTCTGAACCGCATATCCGACTTGTTTTAATTGTATTTTATATCTAAAATATTTTTTGAATCATTCTCAGTTTTTGATGTTTGTATAATTCAATGAAAGTAATTATTTTCCGAAATGACATTTACATTAAGCCAATAACTTTATTGTCAAATTAGATACATTTAAAAATAAATTCTTTTCAAAGAAACAATTTTACAGTAGTAAAACATGACAAGTGCAACAAAAGCAGAGAAACTGCAAGAAAAACTAGTTTATTATACAGTTATGTTCATGAACCGTATATATTGTGTAGTTCTTTAAAAAATACATAGTGCCAGTGTTCTCGATATCTTCTTTTTGTTTGTTTGTTTTAGCCCCCAACATCGACCACAAAAATCCTAGTCTCCAGTTTGGTGAGATTTATTCTGCCACACAATATGACATACGCACATTAAATGGATATCTTGTCTACTGAAATGAGTAAATCCTATCTATCGTGACTATTCCAGAGTGGACACCCAAAGTTGAAAAAGGACGGAATAGGATAATTGACAGTTTATTCTCACATATGCCTTGAGATTATTTATAGTTAACATTTGTTAAATTAAACAGGACATGGCGCAAAGGCAGTTGTGCAACTCAACTTCTCGGAAAGTGTAATCCGAAAGCTTGAAATAGAGGAAGTTGAAAATAGTGCCTGCAAATCTTTGTTGATAAACACTCACACAAATACATACACAACACCTTGTCTCTGTCTTCAGTCTTTTTTTATCCTCACTTCTACATTTGTATTTTCGATTGAAGAATAAATCTAGCAATCCTTTAAAATGTTGTTTTCCCCCCAACGTTTCCACCTTTGATGACGCTGGATGCTGTTGGGCCATACGTTGATTATTCTCCAAAGTTGCACAACACGTGGTTGCTAAATACTTGCCTTTACTACACAAATTCACATCATTGTCCAGAAAAAAATATAAATGCAAGTCACTATGGGCTGAATTCATAGCAAAATAAATATGTTCCCTACTTTGTCAGTTCTTTAGTTTTTAATTCTCTTGCTGTTGCTGTTGAGCAACCTCCAACTGGGTCCCAAAGCGGCTCCAAAAGCCGCAGCGAGCCGGGCACCTGCAGACCCAGTTGTCGGCTGTTTCTTGCTGTTGTGTGATTAGTGTGGGTGCGAACTGGCTGTAGACCTATTGCTAGATTTGCTTTACCTTGCAAGCTAGCTCCTTAGCTCAGTGTGGCTTGCGAGATACTCTGCCAGCTACGACTTACCAAGCTTTCAATTTAACTTGTGATTTAACCAGCAAAATTTGGAGCTAAATTTAATCTGCCAGGATTTCTATTCAACTACCTAGTTCATCTAAACTAGCCAACCAACTAAGAAATTTAGCTAAGACCTAACAAGCTAGTTACTGTGTCAGATTTTCTTTGCAAAGCTTTGTAGTTTTTCTAGTTTGCTACTTAGTTTACTCTCTAGTTGGCAATTTTCCAACCGAGATAATGAACTTGTTTTATCTTGCCACACTTTGTAGTTACGCAGCTGGCAAACTACCAAACTAGATTTTTTTTAGGTGATTAATAGCTTGATGGCTATTGTTCTAGTTTTGACTTGCCAAGTTTGACAGTTATCAAGCTATTGTTCTAGTTTTGACTTGCCAAGTTTGACAGTTACCTTAAAGCTACTGACCAAGATTTAGCTTGAGAGCTTTATCGATTGCCAGCTAGCAACAATTTGCCAAGCTTTCTACCTGACTCGTGAGCTAACCAGCAACATGTTTCATTTCAATTCAGTTTAATTAGCGCTTCCACATCAGCCCCAGCCATAACAAAGACCGAACCAGCTAGCAACTGAACAAGAGCATTCTCGTTAGTTACTGAGGGTGTGTTCGGAAAATCCCTCTGATGGCCTAACATCACTCTGAGAGTTTGTGTTTTGAAAGCGGCAGAGCTCGCTCCCCTCCTATTAATATCTCTATGCAGTCCATGTTATGAACATGCAGCACGTGCTTAACGCTTTCCATCTATCTGTATTGCCTGATGCACTGGGTGCACCGTGCCTCCATTTGGAGTGTCAAGACTAGTGCGCTCCGGTACTCCATTTTTGGGGCACTCTGAATAACCGAATGGCACATTTGAACATCGCTCTGAGTTTGTAAACGGTCAGAGTGAAGCAGTGCATGCTCGGAGCGTATTTCAGAATGCCCCCTATGTCCGAACTATGAGTTTTATATTTGGTTACTTACCTCAGTAGCTAAGATGTTATAACTACACTAAAATAAACTTGAGAGCCTTCTCATACTTATCTCAACTTTTCTTAGAAGCTAACCAGTGATCTATTGCGATAGGTTTAGCAAGTTAGATAATCAGCTCCCTACTGTGCAACATTTTGTATGAGAGCTTTATCAGGAGCCACCCAGTTTTCTTGTCAGAATTCTATTAAGACCAATACAGATATCGTGACTAGCTTCAAAGCCAAATTTTGTATTTTTTTTGTATTGAAGTGATGTGTTAGTGTAGATCTCGTTGAGTGAAAGCAGGGGTTTGACAGATGTATCTGTTCCTCATGTCGCAGTTGGCTTTGCTCCAGTTGTCCAGGGATTTTGACGTCTGCGACTTTGATGTCAGAGCGCAGCCGTTTTTGATGTACTCGTTTTCATTTCTCCAGAATCTACACACGACAAAAGATGGACTCCATGAGACATCTATGCAGGTCTTGGCCAAAGGTGTAGGTGACCTATTTGTTACTTTGATTCAAGAAAATATTACACCAATTTAATTGGTTTATTGTCCTCATAAATGTGTTTTATGTTGTCTAGCCACCGAGATACATTAAAGAATTATTGAGTTAGCTCAGATTAGGTTTCAAGATGAACCACTAGCTGTCGAGCTAGATTTAGCTCGAGAGTTTTGTCATGATTGCAAGCTAACCAGCTATCTCTTGATGTCATAAGTTAGCTACTTAGTAACTGGATGGTTCAGTGAGTAACATCGTTGGCTTCAGACTTGAGGACGGGGGTTAGAATCCCTTTCAGGGTGAATGGTAATATTCAGTTGGGATTTTGGGCAAGTTCGATAATGCAATATGCCAATTCCCAACTATTGCTAGTCCCAAACTCTGATAAAAATGGGTGAGTTGGGCCAGGAAGGAAAAAACAGTCTCAAACATATCATACTAGGGACTCATTGTGGTGGCCCCTGACAGCCAAAAGCCACTTTTTGTTTTTCTTCTTCTTGTCCTTCTTCTTCTTGTAAATTAGAGAATCAGCCTGTCAGAATGTCTCATTCTAATGAGCAATTTTGCTTGCAAGCAAATGAGCTAGCTTCTGAATTACATTTAACATCTAGCTACCAAGTATAGATTTGGCTTGCTCGTTATTTTGTGGTTAGCTATTAGCTTGTGAACTAACTAGCTAACTGCTTGGCTAAATTTGGAACAAAAGCTAACCATATAGCAACTGAGATTTAGACTTGAGCACTGTCTCATAAGCTACTTAGCTTGCTAGGTAACAAATGAGCAACTAAGTTAGGTTTACCAGCTAGCTACGGTATTAGATTTTGTTTTCCAGCTTGTAAGGTAACCTACTGGAAAGTGACACAGATTTAGCTTCAAGCTTTCTCATGCTCTGCTTATCGTACAAGCTAAGCAACTATCTACTTGGCTAATTTAATCCTGCCTTTTGTTATTTTTGTTTGGTGTTTGATCACTCACGCCAGAGTGAGGTTGCGTCCGTCATTCCACTTCCACTTGTTAGAGAGTTCTCTGAGTCCCATCCAGTAGCCATGCTTGTCATCACTGTAGTACTTCGTATGGTTTGTGACAAATTCCTGAAACAGGTAGGAAAGTGATGATGGTTTCCTCCATTGTCTACTCAATGCAAGTTCCGATACCAAAGTAATGATCGTCAACCAAGAGAATTTAATAATGGTCAGCTTATTACAGTTTACCCTTGTTTTGGTCCTGAAATGTCGAGATGAGATTATGCTGGTGTTCAGTGCAGAGGTGTATCTAGTCTAGTGGGATACAGGGCCCTTGGCCACCCCAAAATCTTGTCCTTCACTAATTGCCTTATCATCACCTTTAACATAAAGCTGTTGTGTAGCAGTTTAGCAAATTAACTAGAAAATATAAACAATATTTAATTGCTTGCTTGATTGGTTTTAGCTAGTGTAAGAATTTTAGAGTGGCCCTTCTGTCCATCCATTTTTCTGTATGCTGCATTCAAAAGAAAAAGTTTGGACGCCCCTGTGTTAGCAGGGGGTCAGAGTGAATTTCCGAACACACCCATAGCTTGTGAGCTCACCAGCTAGTTATAAGGCATTTTACTAGGATGCGAGGCTAGATTTGGCATGCCAAGCTCATGATTTCACTTATTAGCTATTTAGCACAATAGAAATATAATAGATTTGAACTGAACCAAATCGGCATCCCACAGTGCTGTGGACTAGAACCCCTACCACTGAAGTGAAGAATGTTCACCTGTTCTTCCTGGCTTTCGATGAGCAGCAGGTGCGCGTTCTTCTGCCTGCAATCATCAACGCTTCCCTGCCAGGTCCTCCAGCTGCTATAGTAAATGTAGTGCTGGAACAGGTAACACTTGGAGCCGAACTGCAGCCAGTTGTCCACGCATGGCTGACACAGGCTTAAAACTAAAAAATACAAAAACAACTTTCCATGTCCCATTTGTTATGTTTTCTCTCTTTTTATCACACACATAAACAATTAAAAATGCCAGACTTTTCATAATTTATTTTTAGGCCCAGGTGAAAAGAACAAAATTGAAAAACAACCCACAGGACTGTGTTTGAGTTTACTATTTGGTCGGTGGTTTCCTATAATACTGTAGTTTAGCTGCTGCAGTCAGTCAGGACCATGACCAACATCGATCAAATGATCCATATTAAATGAATTATTATTATGAAAATTATATTCTTTAAAATAAATAATAAAAAAGTAAATTATAAATAAAATTAAGTGTTTTAAAGTTACAAGTATAAAAGTCATTCTTTGTTAACAGATAGTTCTTACATATATTATTTATTGTACGTATAAATATAACTGAATAATAATCATTTTGATATCAAATCAGTGCAACTTATTGGAATAAATATTATATATTTATTCCAATAAGGCACGTATGTTGACCTTTTTGTGGGCAGTGGTCGATGACAGGGAAATTGTCATACTGTAGAACCTTGCCCATGGTCCAGTTGAGCTGGTCCCGTTCCCTGCTCAGCTCCCGGGTTCGTTCCCGCAGTCGCTCCAGCTCGGACTGCATGTGCCCATTTTGAGCGGTCAGGTTGACGGTCTGCCGGCGCTGTTCGGCCACGACGCTGTTCACTGGAGCAGGAAAACTATTTAATTCTTCTTTTCATTTTGAACTTGCCATCAAATATTAAAAAAAAAAATCAAAGAGTGACTTATTATTTGGTTGTGTGTTTGTGTAAAATCTAATTTCATTTGAGGCACTGACTCCGGTTTACATGACCCGCACGTTTGGTGAGGCTCATTTGAAGAATTACGTTAGCTTGTTAGGCAGCACAATAAATCCTGACTACGACCGCCACTTATCAACCATTTTATGATTACAACAGAGAGTGTGGTACATGGGCTCCCTCTAGTGGTACATGAAAGAATCACTGAACTAATTGCAAACTGCATAATGTCACAGTCGCTCAGACTTTTTCTTATTCCAGTACAGTAGTCTGTAATTAATAAGTACAGTTCAGTTGAACTTCATATTTATGCACATTTGCATTTAATCTTTAAGAACTATTTAGTTTTCAAACATGTACTGTATTTTGGTGCAATTTTTACTTTTGATTTCTGGGTCACATAAACCCAACCAATTAAATATTCAAATAAAATTTCATCCCGTGGCCAGTTTTTATATTTTGCTTTGTTGATCTGAGCATAAAATTGCAATGTGAGAAATTTTGTCACTCTTTTTTTTGTCTTCGATTAAAAAACAAACAACAAAATAAATCAGTCATGTCATTTTTGATAGATAAATGAAAATGGACCGCAGGAATGATCCTGTCAAGTGGAAGGGAAAAAAACAGAAGAATACGTACGATGCACCGTAAGCGCGATGATGACAGATATGAGGATGACACATAGGAGGCCCAGAGCAGCAGCTGCCAATGTGACAGGCGCGTGGAGCGGTAATTTTGAAGCATTTTCTAGTGCGGGGGAAAAAAAAAAAATTATGGCCCAACCTCTAAAGTCCAAATACTTTGTGTTCAATGGGCCTGCATGACTGATTAAGAACACACTGGGCAGATTACATTGACAGGGCAGCATTGAGGCTACAATCTGATCGGCAAAAATATCAAACAGCCGCATTGATGTACTGCAAGAGTGTAGCCACCAAGTGAACACAACAGACAACTGGGAATAAATTATCAACATTTTGCCACTTGAAGTAATCTTTGAAACAAAGTCATAAACCTTGGAAAATGTGAGGCACACTGCAAGGTAACTCCTTGGACCGCACGTCATCGTAGATCTCTTCCACATCGCCACACTTCTCTGGAGGCAACGGAGACACTTTTGAATGCGTTTGTAAATTTCTAAAGATGGAAATGGTAGACAGGAGTATGAAAGGCATCATGAAAGAAGGCGGAGGGGAGTTTCCGGAAACCTTGGCTAGAGTGTTGGGGTGGCCACGTCTCCAGTTCGCTCCTCACGTCTTCGTAGATCACGGTGTCATTTGCCAAGTCTGGAAAGAGAAGCAAATGTATTCATTCGAAAGTGATCATGTGTTGTCTTTGCCAAATAATGAACCCACACTGACTTTCACTGCTTTGCTTATTCCAATTTAAAAAAAATACATTTGCAGTAGGCGGCCCGGTAGTCTAGTGGTTGGCACGTCGGCTTCACAGTGTGGAGGTACCGGGTTCAAGTCCAGCTCCGGCCTCCCTGTGTGGAGTTTGCATGTTCTTCCCGGGCCCGCGTGGGTTTTCTCCGGGTACTCCGGTTTCCTTCCGCATTGCAAAAACATGCATGGCAGGCTGATTGAGCACTTTAGATTGTCCCTAGGTATGAGTGTAGGCGTGCGTGGTTGTTCGTCTCTGTGTGCCCTGCGATTGGCTGGCAACCAATTCAGGGTGTCCCCCGCCTACTGCCCGAAGACAGCTGGGATGGGCTCCAGCACCCCCCGCGACCCTAGTGAGGATTAAGCGGTTCGGAAAATGGATGGACATTTGCGGTATTGTGGATGAATGGAAAATATGATAATATTTTCATATACGACATGGACAAAGTGAGCGGCTATGATGTCGACTACCGGAGGCAACTTAGCCACTTTTCTGAGCCTTCTTGTCACTATTAAAAAATAAATAAAAACGACAACAAATCTAATGATTTTTTTTGTGGTCTCATCTGAGAATCGTGGAGACTCCAAGACTCAACCCTCTGCATCCAGACTGCAAATGAATGCCGCATATGAACATGCGAGTTGACTCGCTGTGGCAACCCCTGGAAAGGGAGAAGCCGAAAGGAGAAGAAGAAGATACACAATGCCTCTACAAGCACGTATGTCGTCTTGATAAATAAGAACTCTTCCAAAAAGAGATTTCTAGCTGTTTATTGCCATTCCCAGTTTACATTCTCCGTCGTAGTAAACATAAAACAGATAAATACACTTATCTTTAAAAAGACGACATAGCCCCACCTTAAGAAAGTCTATTTAGCTTGAAGATAACAAAATGCCTCAGAAACAACATTGGTGTCACAATGTTACAGCTAACCCTTTAAGCAATTGGTTTACTAACAGGGAAGCTACACAATGACAAGGAATTTAACAATATGCACAACAGCACAGGTATATTTTCTTTATCCTCTGCAAAAAAAAAAAAAAAGACTAAGATTAGTGCTGCTGGGTTGTAAGTTTGTTTCCAGGTTCCTGTGTGGAGTTTGGTAGGCTGCAGCAAGCCCGCGACCCTCGTGAGGATAAAGCGGCTCGGAAAATGGATGGATGGATTACCGCAGTTTACTAAGGAGCTGTGACCGTTTCCATGTACTGGTGTACAGGTGTCGCGCAGGGAACTGATATGTCTGTCATATGCTGCTCCCAAGTCATGTACAACAGAAGGAGCAGCACTAAGTCTATTGAGTTTTAAAAAATGGCAAAAAATATTTAATTTCTTTACATTTTATTTAATTTGGTCATTTCTGTTTTTTGTTGTTTTTTTTTTTTTTTTTATCAAGCCCTATATTATAGAGTCATTATTTTTCTTACAAACATTTTGTTAAAAATTTGGAGAGGATGGAACAAATTCAACTGATATCTCAAGGCATCACTGTACCGGTATTCATTGATATCCAAGTCATTTCTGAACCCCTAAAAGATTTTTTTAATGACTGTTAAAGTCAGACATATTGCCCTCTACTCTCGAGAAAACTCATCTGAAAATGGCACACAACACACAGAAAAAAAAAAAAATCACCATCTGTGTGCACCTTTATCATGCATATTTAAATGAGCCTTTTCATATCATACAAGTATCTCTCTTAACTGTTAGGTTCATTATTATTATTAATGAAGTTTCTACAACCCCCAAAACACAAAATTAATCATTCAAAGAAATGGTGTAAAACGACTCACTGTGAGAGTTGAACTTGACCGTCACATAATTGACTTCTTCTTCTGCCATCATTCAATGGACAAAAATATATAAAATTAAAAATAAAAATACCACTAATCCCGCAAAAGGTTTGACCTCATCGCAGCCAGCAATGGGTTAAAGAGAGACGAGCTGTTTGGAGGCACACAAATGAAACTCAAGTGTGAGTAAGAACACTTGAGTTCTTCTTTTTGCTGCTTCTTCTTTTCGGATGATGTGAGACCAAATGTGCAAGTCGGAGGTTTGATTTGGTGTTGTGGGCAGGCTTGCGGTGGGTGTGGTCATCTCTAACATGTACTCAAAGATCTTCAAATTAAATCAATTAAAATGGATTAAAAACAAGCATTTATAAAGGTAATTTTGATTTCATTTTATATATATGTGTGTGTATACAATGCACACTAACCAATAAAATAAATGAAAAGGAATTTATATGTTTCCAATAATCCAATTCTAGTTTTATAATGAGTATTCCTATTAGCGGCAGCACGGTACGCGACTCAGTAGCATGTCCGCCTCACAGTGGAGACGTGATTGGTTCGATTCCGGCTCCGGCCTTCCTGTGGTGAAGTTTGCATGTTCTCTGCATGGGTTTTCTCACGGTACTTTGGTTTCCTCCCAGATTCCAATAACATGCATGATGGGTCAATTGAACACTTTAAATCAGAGGTGCTCATTAAGTCGATCGCGATCTACTGGTCAATCGTAGCCTGACATTAAAAAACAAAAACCAGATGTCAGCCTGTTATCCATCCTGTCTCTTGATTGATATACAGAGCAACTAGTAAGGTGAAAACTGAATTTTGGAGGTGCAATGTTCTGTCACAATGGCATTTTCGAAGTGCGTTCGCCTCATTATTCCAGTCTGCCATCACAATATCACAGGAGGGAAATGTGGAGCGTCATTTTCATTTTCGGACTATTAATGGGAATTATGACCCGACTTCGCACCGAAAAGTCATCTGAGAAAGATAAAGGTGGAGAAACTAATATCCAAGTTGTCTGGGCAGCAGTTATTTTTCATTAAACAAACTTCAAAAGCGAAAGCCGCCACCGAAGCATCGTTCCGGGTTAAAAACAATAAGTCCTTCCAAGACGGAAAGATGTTAAAAGAGGCATTCATTGAAGCATATGACTCATTGTTCCCGAGACTCTAAAAATAAGCAACTCAGGTAATTACCAAAAAATTTTAATAGTCAATCGTCATGTGTGTTGTGCAATATTGGCTCATTCGGTAATGTAAGGTACATCGACATACATAGAATTCACCTGACACTTGAAAATAATTATATGTTTTGCATTTTTGTCGTGGGGAGAGCGTTGTGACTTGGTCGTTTTATGAGTAGCTCGCCTGCTGAAAATGTTGGTGTGCCCTGCGATTGGCTGATAACCAGTTCAGGGTGTACCCCGCCTACTGCCCGAAGACAGTTGGAATAGCCTTGTGAGGATGGATGAAGGGTAGTTCAGATTTTTTTTTTTTTTATTTGTGTAATTGCAACGAGCTGTCCGTTAAGGCCGCCAGATGTCGCCATCTTACAGTACAAGTGGAAGGGAAAAAATGTTTCATCGTTTAAACGTCACAAAGAGTGAAATATTTCCAAATGTTTTTTTTAATAATGAAAATTGACTATAACTATGAGAAGAGAAAAAACACGACATAATGTCACAAGGGGTGAATATTACAAAAAAAAAAAAAGGGTTCGGTGGCGCTTACGTCAACAAGGAAGTGAGTACACGTCACGTGGAAACACCTGAACACGATTACAGGAATTTAAAAAAACAAGATCGGGTGAACAGGTGACAAGTGGATATTGGAAAATTAAGTTGGTCTGAAATTGTTGAGTGGCAGAGATGGTTTGCGGAGGATTTGTTTGCACCAAAAATTCCCTTTGCGCACTCAATGTGCTTTACGTGGTAAGTGCTGTACTTTACGTTTTTTTAAATGCGTCATGAATACGGTTAAGTGTTATCTTTGTACTTCAACCTTCCACAGCATAATGCCGCTGCGTTTATTATTATCTATTTGTTTTCTATGACGTCGTATTCTCCCCAATTAATGTGATGACGATATCGGATAGGGCTCGTCATTGACTTATATTTTGCTTAAAGTTTAGAATTGAATATTTACACAGCTGTGATGTTTTATTTTAGGGTAAAATATGGTCTCACGAGTGAATTTCCTCACTTGACTGAGTTTGTGGATTGTCATTGACCTTTACATGACTTTCAATCATATTGAATTTAAATTTGGAACGGCTTAAACGATATGCGAGTTAATGAGTTTAAAATGAGGTTTAATGATACATTTTTACGAAATAAACTAAATAAAACTAAATTTAAAATGCAGACAAATCTATACTCAGAACAGAACTGTAATTTATGAATACAGTGGTCCCTTGAAACACGAGTGACTCGATTTAAGGTTTTTCGAGGCACGAGTTGTTCTTCATATACCCCCTTTTTTTTTTCTTTCATTGCAAGCGCAGGTGTAGCGCAGGGAACTGAACGCAGCACTTTGGCAAATGGTGAACAATTCTTCCAAAAAGATTCATGAAGCTGTTTATAGCTACTCCCAGTTGTAACTGGGTGTCCAACTAAACATTGAACAAAGACAATTACACCATGTCATTTTAAAAACGACCATAAAGCCTTTCAGTCTACTAGCTTAATGCTAACGTAAAAAAATAGGATATATGTTGTGGCATTATAAACATTTCAATAATATATTGAACACAAATGGTAAAGCAACACACATAGACTGCCAATACAATAGTACTCAGTTGTATACTGTGTTCTCTATCCTGTGAAGAACGACTAGTAGTGCCGCAATGATCAGATGAGACATCTCGAGGCACCACTGTACCTTTTCTATTCGAAAAAGTTTAACGAACTAAATGGAAAAACGCATTTGAGTTTTGTATTTTAAAATGAAAGTTACATTTGTAATATCTTTTTGAATAGTTGTCAGTACAAAACCAGCCTCATCAGCAATTTAAATATCTGGTCCAAAATTACAGGAGTCAATACGACTGACTTGAGCTCCTGACCTTTTTTTTAAAAACTCAAGAAATACATGCTTTTTAGATGTATTTTGGATTTTTTCACACCCCCCCCCCCCAATTCTATACTCTTATCACATGTGTTGTCACCTCAGCTAGTGAGCCTGCTGCTGGTGGGCGTGGCGGCGTGGGGCAAATGGTTCGGCCTGGTGTCCAGCATCCAGGTGGTGGCGGGTGTGATCTGCGTGGGCATCTTCCTGCTCCTGGTGGCCTTTGTGGGGCTGTGCGGCGCCCTACGGCACCACCAGGTGCTGCTCTTCTTCGTATCCTTGCGGCAAAACTACTCACCCTCTGGACTTGAGTACAAGTACAGATGTAATTGCTGATAGATGCCAAAGCACACCTTTTCAATTCGATTGGGTGACGCACTGTTTAAAATTAAGCTCCAACATAGTTATAGATTACAAAAATATACAGTATCTGAAAAATCTACGTTGGTACAGTATGGAATGATGAAATTTATGAAAATTGACTATAAAGTTGTCTCTAGGGCTGAAACGGCGAATAGAGTCGTGCCCCGACATGCGACTTTTAAGTCGTTGCTTACTTCCATCAGTCTGTGGCGTTTCCTTAACATAGCAGTACATGATCATCCTGTCGCTGGTGTTTGTGGTGCAGCTGTCTGTGTCCTGCGCCTGTCTGGCCCTCAACGAAGACCAGCGGGTAAGGCAATCGGAGCCCTCGCTCCACAGTCGCTTGGACTTGACTGACTTCTTGATGTCTTCTCAGAATCATCTCCTAGAAGTGGGCTGGAACAAGTCGGAGTCAATGCAGACGGATGTGGAAAAGACACTGAATTGTTGCGGCTTCTCCCACGTGGACTACAACAGATCGTGTGCCGCCGTAAGGAACCCGGCCGGGCCCCTGGGAGTACAATCTCATCCTATGTTTGGCTCCCACGTTTTGTCTGGATTTTCACCAAAAGACAACATAGGATATTATTCAGTCCATAACTTCTTTGAATACTGTACCCTAAAAGCAAAAGGACCCGAATTTTCGTTCGGTACAGTTTTAGACAAACCTAGGGTGTCACCAATGGCTTTTGGTTACTGCTCCACTGTTTACAGTCAACCTTTAAAAAATGTGCAGCTAATCTCACTTGTGATCAGTAGCACTTTCACCGCATATCTGTTGTCCCCCCAAAAAAACTTCCAAACTTGATAAAAAATTCAGTGTTGAAAATTAAGGGGAAATTGTGTGGCTCTACTGCATTTGCTTTCTCTCCTTAAAATACCCTTTTCCCCCACTTCAAGATTTGTTTTAAGCAGCAGCCGCCATTGTCATGCACCACATGCTCAGACATCATCGAGAAGTATGCCGGACAAGTACTGCGCTTCGTGGGTGGTATTGGACTATTCTTCAGCTTCACAGAGGTCAATATGAGTTATTTTCTTTTTGTCTTCTTAATTACCATTAGCGTACAGCAAAAACAATGCAGCTTTTTTTTCCCTTTTACATCTCAAAAGGCATAGTTTTCCATTGAATTGTAGATTTCTGAAATATGACTTCAGGTTCAGAGTTGATTTGTTTAACTTAAAAAAAAAAAAAAAACGCTTCTGGCACGATGGATCGAACTGAAGTTTAGAACGACATCTTTTAACTCTGTTTGAAAAAAATCTAAAATATACTCCTTTACAATGTTCTCTTTCCATGACAGATGCTTGGTGTTTGGCTGGCCCGTCGCTACAGAAACATAAAAGACCCCCGATCAAATCCCGGAGCCTTTCTATAATGATCAATTGTCTTGCTTTTGTAATTATGATACTTGCTATTTACGTTGCACGGCTTTCCCGTTGGCAAATGCTAAGAAGTGTGTATGATTTAAAGACATGTTTCCTATTCTTTTCATGTGTTGGTGACCCAGTGCTCAAAACCACTACGAATGGCAGCATAGCCTAGCCTAGTTTCGCATGTTGGCTTCAACGTAAACACATTCCCCACTTTATGTATTTACTATTTTGGGGGTGATTGCACGAACTATGCACTGCGGACAGTTAGCTTTAAGGCTGAGACACTGATAGCAGCTATGTGAAGTCAGGCAAACGTTTATCTCGTCTAAGCTACACTGTTAAATATTCTTTTCACATGTGGATGACACGATCAATGCTCAAAGTCTAGCATGTAGGCTTGAATGTAATCTAGGGTTTGTTTTTTTTCAAGGATAATGCAAAAAAGCATAGTTAACCAGTTGGTTTTCACACACTGAAAGTAGCTACCGAAAGCGCTGCCAGCTCCTCATTCCTGTTAGCTGTCTAAGCTAAGGATGCTCAATGGCTTTTGAACTGATCTTAAAAAGATGCTAGCCTGTATATTTCACAACTGAATTGTCTTAGTAATACTCTATGGCAGAAAATGTATACATCTATTGACAATGATAGCATGCTAACACACTACGGCATATCAACACCTAAGGCACATTTTATAAAATACCTTCAGATTTTTTTTTTTTTGGATAATTTGGGTTTTCAATATTATGGATTCAAAAAGCGTACAAGTTTAAATCTTGAAAATTTGATTTATATCTTCATTATGTCCTTCCAATGGAGTGTTCAGCAATAAATGTCTCGTGGAGTCCTTTCAGTGTGTCTACATTTTTCACACACACCTTGGACAAATAATGTTTTAAAGCCAAACAAGTCAATAACAAAGGCTTTGGACATTCAAATTTACACAATGATGAGGTCTGAAATTTAGCCTTCTTACCTCTACAGCGTGTGAAATAACAGCAATGTCATACTGGGTGTTGTGTGACAACGGCTGTGTCCAAATTTACGGGCTGGGTCACCCGAAGCCTGCATTTTCGGCCGCATGACGTAACATTCTGATGTGACTCGACCGCATGTGGTGTCAAAATTCGTATTCGGTCTTTCAAGGGGTCGAAGGACCCAGCCTGCGAAATGTCTCTCGAATTTGGAAACCGCATGTGGTCGAGTCGTAGGAGGAAGTGATGTCACAAAACGCACCCTGTGAAATTAGACACAGCCAACGTGTGTGTGTGAGTCACGTCTTGGTGGCGTCTGTCAGTGAGGAAAGCGGGTGAGCTCACCTTACTCAACAGGATGACAAGCAGGAAGTTGAGCAGGTGGTTTGACCTGTTTTGTACTTTCACATGTCAGCTGCGCCATAAAACCAGCAAGAGAAATCCTATTTGGTAAGGGAAGGAATATTGGACCGTGAACATTGATTAAAGCCATAAATTGTGTCCTTGTTGGATAAGCCAGGTGACCCTCGGGGGAAAAAAAAAAAAAGACCCTTGGTGTCAAATTCAAGATAAACAAGGTGCAACGGGATACGAATGCAACCTTGGGGGAAATCTTTGGTGCTACACAGATTATTCACTATCACTTCAATCTGGAAAATGTTTTGACTTAATTTATTTTCCTTATTTGAACTTTATAAAATGACTTTTTATTTCAAAAACAATGTATTCTAACGCCAAAACTACAGATTTCTTCTTTCAAAATTCTGACTTTATACCGAAGTGTAATTGCTTTTTTTCTTTTCACGGATGCCCGATTGATTACTATACTAATTAAAAACACCCTCGTGTGTGCACCTGAGTGCAAAGTTAAACACTAAAAATGTAGTCGGTAATATATGTATGTTTTAAATCAATCGTGTGACAATAATTGTAATGTTTATTAAACCAAGATTGTTTTATTAAGCATTACTGTACATTCATGTACGAAAAACCCCATGAAAGGTGACACACAAGCACTGGGGAGCGCAGAACTGGAATAATACAGCGCCTTCTGGTGGACAAATGCATCGTCGCATTGGACACAAGCAATATGTTTGTTTGTTTTTTTTTTACCTTTGCCGTTAATAGTGTGATGATTTTTTTTTTTTTGGTTAAAATTAAGGTTTTGCTGTACATTGATGTACGAAACAAGAGTTTCGAGAGACGGCCGAGAGGGAGACAGTTCAAGTTAAAAAAACGTCTCCCAAAAAAAAAAAAAAAAAAAAAAAAGGATTCACAAAATCAACAAATCGACGAAATCAGCCTCAGTCAAATCAAATCAGAACATTAAGAACAGTTGGGAGCAAAGGACACACAGAACAATAATAAATAGGCACTATTAGCATCCTGTCATTAGAACTGGGCTGAGCGAAAAGAAGAGAAAAGGAGTGAAGAAGGAGGGAAGGCGGAAAGGAGGGAAGGACGTACGGTGTGGTATGTATGGGTGGGTCGGCGACGACGATGGAAAGCGTACTACGAATCTGACAAGAAGGCTCTGTGCGTGTCTGGGAATTGCTGAGCGCTGAAGTCAGTGTCGTCTCGCACTCGCTTTATGATGTCTGCTTTCACCTGTGTGGACATACAAAGACAGAAGCCTATCGATGGTGGACCTAAATCAGGGGTGTCAAACTCATTTTAGTCGCGGGCCAATTTGGAGTTACGTCTTTTCTCGACAACAAATATTTTTTAAACATTGGAAAAAAATATAGGAACTTGCAAATTCGTAGGTGCCAAGTATACGGAGGTCGATCGTACGGTTTATTTGGAGAACTGCGAAAGCGAGCAAGTCTTCTTTTCACTTCCTTACAAGTGATGTTTTATGATAAGTTCCAATTTCTTCAAATGAGATCAGGCACTAAAGAATACGTAAAAAAAAATGTGTTGACAAATGTGGGTGTTTTTACCTGCTCCGAGTAAGCTTCCCTCAGCTGGGGTGAGTCCAGCTCTTCCTGCAAACGCTCACCGGACGTGATGGGCTTGACGCCAGCTGTCCTGGCTGCCTGGCTCACGGCGTCCGACAGCGACACCAGGCTCCCGCTGCCCAGTCCCGTCTGTGAAAGAGAAATCGAGAAATAAATAAAAACACAGCAGTGCAGTGAGGGGGGAGGTTAATTCATTTTGCGTCAATTTACTCTGCAAGCAATTTCCTGACCTTCCTGCGTTTGGCCGGCATGCCGTGCAAGTAGGCGTCGGACAGCGGCGGCTGCGCCTTCATCTTCCTCTGGGTCATCATGTCGCAACGGATGATGGGCACCCACTCCTGCAAAAACATGACAAAACCTAAATCATCATCAATCAAGGGAATCAATGTATCATTTCCCTTGAACTGCAGGGAGCTGTCACTGAGCCATCCATTTTCCGAAGCCAACATACACATTTCTTTGTGCATTTGAACCCTTGACTGACAAACTTCCGACTAATCTACAACATCCGAAAAAACAAACAATTCCCGGGTTCCAAAGAAAGAAAACGTTCTCACGGGAGGTACGGTGGCTGCCCAGGCTTCCGACTCTCCAGCCGAGACCTCGCTGGTGCCCTCGGCTCCCGCCGCCGCCTTGTCACCACCCAACGGTGCAGCCCCACCTGCGGTGCCCAGGTCGGCGGGTGCCGCTCTAGTCTCCCGTGACGATGACACTGACATGGCCTCCTCTGCTGTGGTAGCGGCGGCTGGCGAGAGGGTCTCGCTCATCTTTAGGCAGGTGAAAAGAAGGCAGAAAAAAAAAAATAGGAGAGGAAAGCAAGGAAAAGTCAAGCGGCGGTTTAAATATCACGTGTAAGTAATGAATTAGAAAGGAGAAGGAGACAGATGGTTTACCGTCGCACTTTGTGTCTGTTCTGGTTCCTGTGTGTCAGTCGCGGCGGGCTGATCCCTCTGTGAAAACAAAAATGTGATATATTTTTTATGAGCATTTAAGATGGCCAACGTAACAGGATATAACAAGAAACGCTTCCTCGACATACAGCATGTGACCTGTGGATGACTTAACTTTACTTCTAGACAACTTTAAAAAAAAAAACATGCAGCATTCTTTCACTTGGTTAATTTCCAGAAACTGCAGGAAAAAGTAAACAGTGGAATCTCGAGGTACAAACTTAATTGGTTTTGTGATCCCGTTTGTAACTTGAAACTATAACTGTAACTTGTAACTAAGTCAAGGCAATGTTTCCCATTGAAATGAATGGAAATGCAAATAATCCATTCCAGTCCCAAAATGTATGCTCCCCCACTCTTCAAAGCAGCCAACCACCATGCCATGAGAGGTCTACAAATTATCCGGTTTCACTCTCCAAAGAATTATTTGTTTTTGACAAGTAGTGCCCTAATAATTGTTGGCCGGAGACCTGTCCAGGGTGTCCATCGCCTCTCGCCTAAAATCAGTTGGGAAGGAACCAGCTCACCCGCCAAACTGAGAATAAGCAGTAGAAAAAAATGGCTGAATGGATACTACAAATAATGTATCTTTATGGAAAACCAATCTTTGTTCATCTATTTATGCCAGCAACATATAGTGAGCGGCAGAACAATTAAATGCTCATTCACTGGATGGCAAAAGGACCAATTTACCCGCGTTTCCATCTGCTGGCATTTACACCACAGAGTAATAGCAAAGTGTTCATCTCAGATGATGCCAATGCCAGCATCTTGTGTGACACAATTTGGACAATTGCTTTACACACAACAGGGCGGATGAGGTGAGGGCCGGTCAACTTCCAATCCCTGTCCCATGTTGTGAATGTGTCCGTGTCACACACCTTTATTTGAGTTCTGCAATAATGAAATGCGTTTTCAAAAATGGAATCGAGCCACAATGCCACCGAAGCAGTGGTGGCATTTACCTGTGTGTAAACAATGTAATTCTGGATCTGCTCCGTGGTGATGGGAAGGTGCTCCAGGACGTATTGCAGCCTCATGGTCATCATGCTGGTCATCCAGTTGAGCAGGCTAGGGCTGACGTCGCTCGACATCCTCCGCTGGAAGCACGCACGCACGCATAGTAAGTAAAACCCAAGTTATGCAACGAAGAGAAGAAAATGGAAAATATGGGCGCGAGTGGGAGAAGTGACAATCGTTGGCATACGATGCGGTGATTGATGACGGCGGTCAGAGCGCGCTGGTCTCCTCTCAGGCAGTGCAGGTTAAGTGCAAGACACTCAAACAGAGCCTGGTTGCACAACTGAAGCAGACGAAGCCCGAAAGAATCATCTGGGAGACCAAGAGACAAAAAATAGGTTTTGAAAAGAGATCAAAAGCTTAATTTTACATATCACACAACTAATCTACTTTTTACTCATCTACCACAAAGACGAGCATGTGGTAGCTTGCAAGTAGAGTTCAGTGAACAAGAGGTAACAGCGAAAAACAGCCACACACCTGTACAACGAAGGATGTGCGTGGCGATGTGCGTCAGCTGCTGTCTAAAGAAGGACATGTTGGTCTGGGTGACATCCACACCCTCCAGCACGGTGACCGAGGATTCCCTCTGTGTGCGGCAACCGCCCCACGCCCACCAAAAAACAAAACAAAACAAAAAAAGAAAACACACACATGACCACCACAAGAATGTACGACAAGGACGGCTTGGCTCAAGAAAATCTATGTACTGTACTTACAAAGCTCTCTGTGATGTCTTCCTCCAGTTCTTGCACGATGGCGTCAGCAGCAGCCTGTGAAGAAATAAATGATTGCTGTTGACTTATCCGCCTTCTTTTTGTTTCGTCTTACATTCTTGGTTGATTTAGTTACTCATTTCCCCATGTTCCCATATTGTTCTGCGTTTATCTGATTGTCCTGAACTGTGTGCATGAATGTTCAAGTCAAATGCGTGGCAATGAAACGAAA